AATTAGGTGCTAAAGTAAGATTAGGCCCCAAAACCCCAAAACCCCAAAACCCCAAAACCCCAAAACCCCGATTTTGGGAATTATTATTGAAGGTTAAGATAACATGAAGTCCACCGACACCCACTCTCCCCTCCCCTTTTCCTTAAGCCTCCTCAAAAAATCCCCTTCGCACCAGCCCAGAAGAATCCGAAAGCGAGAGTAAGTGCACATCTCTTTCTTCATTAATCCACTCTGGAACTATTAGCCCTGGTTCAGCCACTTCCACCAACTAATCTTACTCTTTCTAGCTCACAGCTAGTCAACTTCGTGGCTAGCTCACCACTGTGAGAAGAGAGGAACAGAAATAAGAATCTTGGAGGTTTCGGAGCTAGAACAGGAACTGTACAGAGAGGACCAAGAATTTTGGAACGGGCTTCAGAGTTTGAATCCCTGATAAAAGATAATTATGATACGAAATAATATTCAGAACTTTCAACAAAATATGTTCATGGAGGCTTATCAAAAAGGACTTGATGCATACAAAGAGAAGGATTGTAAGTTTTATCTAACTTTAGTTAAATAAAGTTCATCAGAATGCAATTTCCCAGATTCAGTCCTTAAATCCTAGCCCCAAAAAGCAGAAGGTATGACTCTCACCTAACCTTAGAAAAAGAAGAATTCCTCAGGTCCTTTCAAAGACAAAGGGCGGCTTAGTCTCAGTAACGAATTCAATTAATCTTCAGATGTGATTGACAAAAGGTTTAATGTGGCTAAATAACTCTTTGCAAAAGCCTAAAATGAAGAAGTATGCTTATAGTTTGAATTGATCTAAAATTTAGGATCCAAAGTCAACCAATGATCAAGGTTCATCAAGATCCAGGAGATATCAAACTTAAGATTCCTAAGAAAGAGGAAAACAAGAGCAGAAATGATGGATCAAGAAGTAGAATTCCTCTTTGATCATAATAGTTTTAAAGCAATTTTCCAGACCAAGAAACCATGCTGCTATCAACAAAATGATTAAAGGGCTTTATCAAGGCCTTAAAAATTCACCAGAGCTAAAGCTCAAGCTTCTTCATAACAAGTCAAAAGTAATGAAAAGAAGGTAAGATTTTGCTTTAAGTATAGACAAAGAAGACATATATCTGTTGAAAGAGGTAAGTGTCCTTATTAATAATCCTAGTTCAAGCTAACCAAATCTCTCAGGTTAATCCTCAAGGTAATTTTCTACTCTGTAGAACTATCCATCATTGTATAGTAAAATCCCGGAATATAAATGTTATGAAAACTTTGAATCTGAAAGCTCTTAAGCTTCCATACGCAAGCAAAATATTTCAATAAGTCTCTTCCAAAATGGGGTTTTGGGGTTTTGGGGTTTTGGGGTTTTGGGG